TTGATCATCTGTCCATCATCGTATAAAGCCCGCCCTGACAATTTGATTGGATCGCCTGACAGTGGGCTTTAATACTCGCGCTACTATGGAGTAGAGCCAGGCTGAGCTTGCCCGAACTCAAACCTTGTGGGCGGGACTAAGTTCGGACTGGCACCCAGGCTATGGTTATATCACATTACGTTCATTTTCCATAAACGTGTTGTGGGTTGGCCTTATAGAAATAAGCTGAATTCAATTGTAATATTACTTCTTCAATGACGTAATATTAGAATATTATTTAGCTATTATTACACCTTTGGTAGCATAATGTTATAACTTTCATCTCCAAATGTTACATCTTTAATCTCATAAATTCAGTCTCATAAAATGCGACTTAAAACTCTTAATCTTATAAACATAACCTCGAAATGTAATGAAAATCTCTTAGTTATAATTTTTATCCTGATAATGTTCCGACTTTAGTCTCATGATATTAAGATTTTACTCTTGTAATCTTAATATTATGGTAATATGACCTTGTTCTCATAATCTAAAGAATTTTTTTATTACAAAAAATATATATATTTCTTTTAATATGACCCTAATAATCAGGGCTTGATGTTAACCATCACCCAATCTCCGGGGGCAAGTAGTTTTTATTGTCGGGAGAGTACAAATTTCATTGCATTTGCCTGCTGGGCAAGTGCAATGATCGTAAAAATAATTATTTATCACTCAAAATTACTTTAAAATCACCGACATTCACTGAAAACGACCCACAAGCGTTGCCGGCGCCATTTTTGTTGTTTTGTACACATTCTCGCGTGATTTTCCGCTAGATGGCGTGATTTTTCTCTCCTTGGGGAGAGAATTCTGCAGAGCAGCAGCTGGATGATGAATTTAATCTATACTATAATACACGCTAGATTAAAAATAATCAGTCAGGGATTAGGAAAATAATAATAGTATAATAAGTGTAAATATTTCTATCATATGGCAGTCTTCTGTACAGTGATGCAGGTCAAACATTAAAACATTTTCATTAAATTTATTTATCTTAAACATTGGAGTGGTGCATTTAAATGTTATAGAGCTAAACATGTTAAATTGGTGAGTAGTAGTAGTGTAAGTTTTTAACCTGTCAAGTTTTTTTTTTTTTTTTAACATTAGAATTTATATTTTTCCAAGCACACAACAGTTTAAAGCAAAGTTTAGTTT